CATTTTTAGAAAAACATTGGCCAAAATAAATAAGTGAAATAGAATATGCTGAAAAACATAACTGGGAGAGGAAAAAAGAAAGCCCCACTTTGCTGCCATTGAGTCAATTCTGACTTCTAGTGCCCCTTAGGACAGTAGAACTGCCCCATGGGCTTCTGGGGCTGTGCATCTTTACAGAGCAGAAAGCTTCCTGGTCTCCCACGGCGTGGGCTGGAACTGCTGACCTTAGGGCTTGCAGTCCAACATGCATTTCACTAGAAAGGAGAAGGACCTAGAAACCTTGTCCTGTGTGGGTTACCTAAGGAGTGAAGAATAGTAAGAATGACAGGCCTTGGTGTTGATACCAGAGCTAGCTTCAGATGTTTGATGGATGATCTATTGAGGAATCTATTGAGTTACTTGGACATTACAGAAATAAAACAATGAATGTAGAGTTTAGTTCAGAATTCGGGAGGTCTGTGTAAACTGTACCTCCCAGTAATGGAAAAGGTTTACTTTTTATGATAGTGACATTGTCACCATGCCAGAGTTTAGAAGACTATTCATTAATTATATGCTGCAATTATTTAACGTGTACTTGAATTATTGTACTATAAATACCCTGGTTAGTGAAAAGTATATGCAACACACAAAATCAGCATTAAATATGATCGACAGGTGAAATGATTAATTATAGTGTTAATTAAATTTTTATTTACATTCTGTTTCCCTTTTACTAGAAATTAATGGGGAAAAACATTCTTGAGATTTCCATAGTTTAGTAGAATGAATCATTAGAAATTATATTCAAAGTAGCATCTTGAATAACTTCTTGGTTTTTGTGGTACATATGGTTGACATCATCTGTCAATGTTGAAATGTACTTAAAGTGGAAAACACTGGTAATAAAGTTGTTGGTGATTTTCTCACAGAATGTAGGCTCATGCCCTAGATTTTTCATTTTCACTTGCTCATGCCTTCCTGGTTTATTGAAAGCTTAAAAGTGTAGCTGCTTACATCCAGGATAGTGCTCAGTTCCTAAGAGGAAATGGAGGAGTCACTCTTGCCCCTACTTGCTCTTTCTCTCTTTCTGTCTTTGTCTCTGTGTCTGTCTTGCCACCATGTTGAAAAGAGGTTTGGGTACAAGTCACAGAATTTTTACTATAGATTATTTTCAATCTCATGTCCTTCCCAGAAGGCTTGTCATTATTTCCTCCTTATGTTTTGCATTGCTTTTAACGCATAAAAACCTCCCAGTACAAAATTACATTTTAGAGGAAAATAATACAGCCATAATCATTCTCAAATTGTGTTTGACATTTTTAAATTTGCCTTGAGAGCACTTCACATTTACTTGAAAAGTCACAAATGATTATCAAGTCATTAGCACAGGCCTTTTAAGCAAGAAATTTCAAAACACAGGATTATAAACAAAGATGCAGCTAGCATTGGAATTTCTCTTGTATGTGGATTGTGACCGATTCATTCAGGTATTGCTAGAAATGTCACCATTGATAGGTGTGTGAGTTGGGGATTGCATGTGACTACCACCAATAACCACCTGACCCAGAGTGAATTCTCGTCAGCGTCTTTTTATGCCACACGAAGGAAAGCTGCAGGTAACTTGCTCAAATAAGACAGTTTCACGCTTTCTGCTCTGCCCTCCTAAGGGCCACCCTTCAAGTTATGCTCTCTGAAGTGAATTTAGTGCGTATGTGTCTATAAGATAGAAAGCAAGAACACATGATACCATATTGGAAATTAATTTTATTTGTAGAACCCAAATTCATGGCATGAAAAAAAAAATTAGAATGGGGCACATTCTAATAATGCACATCAGCTTAAAAGTGGAAAATGGCGGCTGTGGGGGGCGGCTAGAAGAAATGATAATGAGGTCAGTTAAAAAAAGGTTTTAGAGTTAAGTCAATATTTAAATTGGAATCAAAATAGATAAAAGAAAACTGAATATAAACTATTGACTAGTAGATAATTTATATTGTAAGAATTAATACCAAACTAGTCCTAAGGAGTTGGAGATTGAAAGGTCCCTAAAGTCCAATTCTTGCAAGACGCTGTCTCCTCCACGTTTCACCGACTCCTCCCTGAGTGTATTCCCGCACGTCCCTGGGTTCTTGGAATCGCTGCACTGTGTCACAGAACTTGGCGAAAGTTCGAGGAAATGTTTCACATGGTGGTCAGTGCAGTTCAGTCCAAAGTCTGAAGGAAGGCAGGGGTCAGCCAGATGTTGGGGCCAAAGGATGAGCTCCATTACTGGCTCTTGCTGGTGATGAGATCATACCCCATGCTTCTCAGAGGACCCATTGCAGGAAGGCATTGCAGAGAATCCTTTTCACAATTATTCACAGGCTAATTCTATAGTCGCTTACCCCCTCCTTCCTGCCAGACTCATGCAGGGAAAGATTATTTGGTGAGATACAATCAAATTTCACCCAAATATAATAATCTATTCTCCACCCCTGGACTAGATTTTATGTATGCATTTGTGGCCCGGGGCCTCTGGAAGGATAGTTCTGTAAGCATTAACCTCCTATTCAGCTAAGTCACACAGGCTTTTTCCCAGGCCACTCCTCACTGTTTTCTTTCTCCTCTCA